TCTCGCGCGATCGCCTGCTGGTCTAGCGTGAAATGCAGCTCTTGGAGCGGCGAAGTGTCGTGGAAATGTGTTTCCCCTGCTGGCGGGGGGCCAAGGGTGAGACGGCGCGGCGGGCCCGCGTGGGGGCTGCTGGCTGCGCGTAGCTCCTCGGGCCGCAGTGGAATATTCTGTTCGTGCCAAGCGCGCCGCGCGGGGCCAGGCAGGCCGGTGAAGATGCGGCGCCGGTGGTCGCCCGTCGCGCGCTTCCGCGCGGTCCAGCACTCCTGCGCTGGACGCCGAAATCTCGTTGCGTCTGCGGCGTCGCGCGCGCTCGAGGCGACCGCGCTGGCGAGGGCAGCTGGCAGGGCAGCGCTGCCACTGCGCCGAGGAAGTCGAGGTCGCCGTTTTAAATGGCGCACGGGCGGAATGCCTTTCGCGCGATGTGTCGGCCAGCAGATGCTTGGCAGCTGCCCGGAGTATGTGAGGCTCTACGATCAGTCGAACATGCTTGCAATCAAACTTGTTGTCGTCCTCTGCGTCAGCGGATGCCGTGGGTTTGGTCTCTGCGCGCGAACGCTGGCGGCGCCTGCCTGCAAAGGCCGACCTGTGGCCGCCCTTCTCCTGCGTCTTCGACCACTGGTCTCCGCAGGCGCCGCTCCAGCCGCCGCTGGCCGGCGCCGCGAGGGCGTTCGTCGTCGAGGCCCTTGCCCTGCGTGGCGGCCTTGCCGCCCGCCCGCCTCGGGCTTCGCTCGCGCCCGAGAGGGCGGGGGCCGCGCGGCCGCCCTGCTGGCGCCGGCGGGCCTGGTTGGCGGCGCCCCCTGCCCTTGGGGCCCTTCGCTTTCGAAGCCGCGCTGGCGGAATCAAGTGGCTGAATGGAACGGCGCCGTGCGGGTGGAGCGAAGGCGCGCGAGGCAGCCTCGGCAATAGGCTGGTTCCCCGACTTTGTCAACCACCAGCGTGACAGACGGCTGCCATGCCGCCCGCTCCTCGGTGCGAGCCCGCGAGCCCAGTGCCTGCTATCCTGCCCTGGAGCGTGGGCGGACAACGCGCCTCGCGACGCGGGGGAGGTCCAGCCAGTGCATCCCCGAAGCGTTGATGCCACATTTCTTCGGAGCCAACGGCAGGCGCGTGGTCTTCCCCGCCCCGCCGCCCATGCGGGCACGCGGCGCGTGATGAAACTACCGTGGGGCCCTGAATGGCCGAAACCACCAAGGCACCGCCGCGAGCCTGCTGAGTCTTCTTGCCCTCAAGTCTCGCTGTTCTTCCAAGTCATCCGCAGGAGGGGGAGTGGGGGAGGAGGAGGAGGAGAAGGATGATGATGATGAGGAGGATGATGAGGAGGAGGAGGGGGAGGACCAGTATTGACCCAATATTCAACGATGTTGCGAGACAGCCTCCTCCCAAGCTCTTTCCTCATTTGCCCCTACGAGGACTCATTTCCACTGATTGTAATGCCCCGTTGGAAGTCAACCGTTAGAAATTCCTGGTCCCTGGCATATCAACATTCTTGGGACTTCAACGCCATGAATAACCTTCCTTGAACGTCTTGACGCTCCTGTCTCGTGCCATGACACCGTTCTTGGATTTCCAGCACCTCGAATCAACGTAATTGTTGCGCCCTGACAGTCCTACGTTGTTCAGGAACATTATCTTTGAGACGTTAAGCATGACAACCCGTCGAACCCCTGCATTTTGTCAAACGAACGTACGCGGCGGCCCTCAATCAGCGAATCTTTAACACATTTATAAGACGACCGTGCTCGGCGCCAATGCCATAACCGCATTTTGAAAAAGGGCCTTCCATTCATCCGTGACGATGTTGCAAGTTTTGAGATGAATGTGCGCGGTGCTAAGGCGATAGCCACATTTTGAAAACCACTCGCCATCAACCCGTCGAATTCCCACATTCTTAGCACGAGTGTGCTCGCGTTAGGGCGAGAACTTCATTTTGAATGCGGCCCGCCCTCCATCCGTGAAACGGTTGTAGTTGTCAAGCTTAAGTGTCTTAAAAGGGGGGGAGTTCTAAGGCGAAACGGCCAAACCGCCCTGTCAACAAGTCTCGCCGTGCGACAGGGAGGAGTTGTTTATAAGGAGAAGGAGTGGGGGAGGAGGATGGGGAGGAGGAGGAGGAGGAGGAGGAGAAGGATGACGAGGATGAGGAGGAGGAGGACAAGGAGGAGGAGGAAGAGGAAGAGGAGGGGGAGGACGAGGAGGAAAAGGAGGAGGAGGAAGAGGAGGAGGAGGAGGAGGAGGATGTGGAACAGGAGAAGGAGGAGGAGGAGTAGGAGGAGGAGGACGAGGAGGAAGAGGAGGGCCCCAGAGGCCCAAGGAACTGAAAGCTCCCAAAAGCCTTGCTCTTCGACCCCTCGAAACTTCACGGTCCAGGAGGAGAAGCTGGAGGAGAAGGCGAAGGAGGAAACGGATGATGATGATGACGAAGAGGATGATGATGATGCTGATGAAGATGCCGATGCTGATGAATATGAAGGTGATGTTGCTGCTGCTGCCGATGCTGCTGCTG